TTGTTATGCGGCAATGGTGATGATTCGTTCTATGGCATCGGACCTTCTTTCAAGTGCTACTGAATCTGCTTCGAGTACTAGATTACTATCATGTACATTTCCCACCTGATATTTTTTCATACTATGACATCGACAAGCTAATCTTATTACTCCAGTCTGAATGGTTTAGTACTCCCAACACTCTTTCACGTCCCATTAAGGCAGGATATACGAAGGTTAGAAGAGTGCTTTTCTCTCACCGCCAAATTTCCTACGTTAGTATTTCATTTAGTCTACGGGGTTTATAGTAATAGCGTCTCTCGTAATTCACCCTGGCGAGCAGAGTCCCCCATCTCTCCGAGTAAGAATTTGCGTCCCTTTTCCTCGTTCGGTAATCCCCCTTGCTGTTAGATTTTACTACGAGTGATGAAGGTGGGTAGGGGGGTAGGGTAAGGGAAGGTGGTGGGTAGACAGGTAACGGAGGGGGGGACTGGGGGACGACGCGATGTGATGCGATGCGATTCGATGCTGGCGGTTGGGGGGGAAGTAACATCAACTGTAGGAGCGAGGCAGAGTTGGGCGGCATGCCGTAGGATAAGCTGTTTGGTGCAGGCTTCCTGGGTAACCGTCTCTGCGAGTGTCTGTACTGCCTTGCAACTTTTTTTTTTTTTAAGACGAAAGCATCAATAGCGGCAGGTTCAGTTATCTCATGTAGACATGCATGAAGTTAAAAAAAAGTCCCTTAAGACATTGATGCAGCAGTAGCAAGGCCGATCTGGCGCTTGACTTGTCCTCTAGCCCAGCGGGCAGTCTCGATGGTCTGTGGGCCGTATTCACGGCTGGTTCGAGCCTCTCTTATGAGGGCAGAGACGAAGTCGTTGCGGAAGAAAGATGCGTATTCTCCGTTGGGGAAGGCTTCAGCCAAATCACCGATCACTCCCATGCTGGCGCGTAGGAGACCCTCGCTACGAGATGGTTCCTGTGCCACCAGGTGCAAGAGCTGGAAGATCGACTCGACGTATGGCTGGAGGATGTTTACGTTGGGAGCACCCTTGTAGGCGAGCAAGATACCACCCCAGGCGTCCATGATACCCTCGCGGAGGGAGACGATGTAGTCGATCATGTCGTAGGAGACGTCATTGCTGGCAGTGACAGCAGAGGCCTGTTGAAGGACCTGTGCAACTACGGATAGGTAGGTTTCAAAGTGCGAGCCAATGGCCTGGGCAATGTCGCCGAATGTTTCCAGGATGGCGGGCTTGAGCTGGTTGGACAGGTTGTTGCTGCGGAGATTGTTGAGCAGGTGGTTCATGAATGCGTCGCAGAACGGCTGCACTTTTTCTCCCAGTGAGCGAGTGATGTCGCTGACGAGGCCGATAGCCATGGCACAGAGACCGGGTTCTTCCTGGTTGGCAAGGGCGTTGTACAGGAACGGACTGAATGGCTCCATGTATTTAAGGAAGTCCGCCTCTAGTGAGCTGGCGAGTGAGCCAACGGTTGCAAACACGGTGTCGGGCACACTGGACTTTGGTGGGATTGTAGTCAACACCTGGAGAAGCACAGTCATGATGCGGTCGGCTTGGGGCTTGATTTCAGCCTCCAATCGCTGGACAATAGCCTGTCATAGCGGTTAGTTAAAAGAATTACGATAAGTACTGGATAGGTACGTACTAGGAGAACGCTGGTCAAGCTCGTCTGGAGCTCTTCTAGAGTGATACGGTCCTCTACGCTGACGACCTGCTGCTGCATTGGCACAGTCTGCTCTAGTCTCTGCAGGATAACATCTGACAGGTTGGCGATGATTGGTAGAGAGTCATTTGCGGCGTTGGTCACAAAGGAGTTCAGGACCTCGTATGCAGCAGTTCGTAGTTGGTTATCAGCGTCGGTTCTACAGACATTATTAGCACGAGAGATTATAATATGTTTGCTTTGGAGGGGATTTTGAAAATACCTTTCAGTGACAGACAAGAGCGAGGTGACGCTGTCTTGGAAGTGCTTGCTGAGAGGGTTGGTTTGAGCTCCAGCGTCGCCGGCGAACCGATCTGCAAGGTTCATGAGGGCCCAGCAGCAAGACCCGGCGATCTTGGGACTGCTCGCGAGGCCGTTGAAAAGACACGAAATAAGCGGGTGAAGGTGTACGTTGACCTCGATGGCGCCAGAGCAGTAGTCGCAGATACGGCCCAAGGCATAGGCAGTAGAATCTCTGACATGCACGACCTTGTCTTCCATCATGGTGATCATGACGGGCAGGGCCTGGCGGACAAGGGGCACGAGAGTTTCGTGCTCTGGGCCATCCATGATGGCGCCAAAAGCCGAGACGGCAGCGTCACGGTGGTGCCAGTCCTCACTACGCAGGTTCTGCTCGACGAACTCGAGGACGGGACCGACAAGCTCGGCCTGTACGGTCTGAGCATAGAGCTGCAGGGCCTGGTAGGCAGCGCGGGAAACGTCGTAATCATCGTCACTGGCATCTTCATCCTGAGTGGTCATTAGCTGCAGGAGGACGGGGACGACCTCTCTGCAGGCGATGCGGGCAAAGCTAAAGAACGGTCGGATCTCTGTCGACCCTTCAGCTTGTGCCTAGACATTAAAGAGACGTTGTGTTAGCTGCCTAGTTGCAGCAGAATGTGAGAACGAGGAAGAGGGCAACGGTACCTGGTTGTTATCATCATCGATAGAAAGCTCTTCTTCACAGACGGTGCACCAGAACTCGATAGCAAGCTTGGCCACGTCTTCCTCCTCGCTCTTCATACCCATAATCGTTAATCCGAACAGCGCTTTTTCCATGTAGAAACGCATCTTATCGTAGTAAATGCCCATGATTCTGTTCAGGCAACCAAAGGCGCCAGCCTGTATCCGCGTGTCCTCAGCCTGTGTGGCCTCGCAGACAACCTGCATAATGTAGTTCCGCTCGCCCTCGTTCTCAAAGTTGGAGCGCACGAACTCGATGGCATCGCTGAGCGCGGAGATGGCAGCATTGCGCACATCTGGGTTCTGTTCTTCCCGCCGCGCTCCCTGCACGACGGCCGTGAGAATAGCGTTGGAATGGGCGCTCAGGCTCTCGCGAAGGTCGGGC